TTCTTTCTTTCTTTCTTTCTTTCTTTCTTTCTTTCTTTCTTTCTTTCCCAACAAATAACAGGAGGGAAGAGAGAGAAGAAATGCTTGAGGATTATAAAAGAAGAAACCATTTAAAAGTAAACTTCATTCAGAGCTGACCAATTGGTCACTAATATTGAATTAAATTAGCATGTTTTCCCTATAGCTTTTCAAAGATTATATTGATCTTAGATTTAGGATTGGAAAGGACTTTGAAGTTTCTCTTGTCCAAATCCTTCACTTTACATGAAAGCTGAGGTGCAGAGAAGGGAAATTATTTATCCAGAGTCATAAAGGTGGCAGGACTGAAATTTAGTTCTAGGTTCTTTAAGTCCATAACTATTTCTCTTTCACTGTAGAGGCTGGTTTTTGTTAGTGTTAATCTTAATATGACAGTTCGTATTTTTTTTTCATTTTTAGAAACAAACGTATTTCTTGTTCTTTGACAGGAGGTGTCCTTTTGAACATTTGGAAGACGTTCCTGATATCTGAGACTGCAAGGAAAAGTGCCCAAGTTCTCATTAAGACTATATTTCTTTTCCCAAAAGTTTACTAGATAATCAACTAATAAGATCTCTTATTCCTCACTGAATTTTAGTGAATAACTGTTTCAATTGTCTTTGTCTCCTTAACCAGAAGAAGTATCAAAGGTACGGTCTGTTGATCTAGCATAGTAGACTCTCAGTAAATATATGAGGATGGTGATTATTAAACTAAATAAACAATGCAGCTTCCTGAAGCATGGCTGTACATTGATTTTTCTTCATTTTTTGGTAATTTTTCTGAAAATTCTGATGTACAGGTTGAAAATAGACTAGGAGACAGGTGAAAAAAACTCATTATGAGCAATTTAATGTTTTCCCAGGGATGCAGAAAGGTTCATCATTAAGAAAATAGCACAATTAATCATATAAACAATAAAAACCACATGACAAAATAGACAAATTGAAAAAATAGAGAACTCTTACACACTAAAAAGGCTGAAAATCACAGGCATGAAAATATCATTCTCTAATAGGATTAAAACTATATACCTCAACAAAAATATTATTTGTCATGGAGAAGCACTAGAAGCTTAACAAAAAGGAAGAGGGGTAAAGCAAGTATTTAGCTTCTCTCCATAAACTTGAGTGAAATAGAAAAATTCCTTTCAAAATATATTAAAAATGAATAAAATATTTGTGTATTGACTCAAAGCACACAGGATCTATATAAACACAACTACTGAACATTCTTTACAAACAAGGAAAATGAATAATTGGAGGGATGTTCATTGCTCATGATGAAAGTATGACTATAATTAAAATGACAATGGTCAATAAATTTGGAAATTTAATATTGTATCAATCAAGCTTCTAAAGGACTACTACTTTATAGGACTAGGGAAATAATGACAATTAATTTGGAGGAACGAAAAGTTTCAACTCAATGGAATTAATGAAAAAAAGTAGGAATGAGGTAAGAATAGAACTCTAAGATTTAAAATCATGTAATAAAACAGTACTCACCAAAATATTTGGTAATGGTTAAAAATAAGAAAGTAGGTCAGTAGTTCCAATTAGATAAGGAAGAATCAGAAACTGCTAAACTCATAAACCCAGTTTTTGATGAATCCAAGAACATAAATGATTAGGAGGTAAGAACTCCTTATTTGACAAGAATACTGGAAAAAAACTAACATTTGGTTAGGAAGAAATTAGACTTAGGTCAAATCTGACCAAGCCTATGCCACAATAAGCTCAAAATATATATTGAAGGTAACACTATAAAATGTTTGTTAAAGATCTTACCATAAAAATAATAACTGAAGAGAACCAGAGCAGCTACCTGTTCCTACTTTGGCTGGTGGGAGATCACTAAACAAGGGCTGGAGATGATTACAAAAGATAAAATTGATCATTTCAATGTCTGCCACATATGTGAACCCAAAAATGTTGGGGAAAAAGATCACTAAAAACAATGTAGAACCAAGCCATAGTAACAGTATAAACGTAGGCTAAGGGACTAGGTCTGTATTGGTTAACCTAACATAATCATACTAAAAATCTAGAAGGATCCCAGAGCTTATTTAGTCCAACCCACTCATTTGACAAATAATAAAACTGAGCTTCAGACTAATAAAGTAACTTGATTATGGTCATTCAGGTAAGAAATACCAAAACTGAGGCATGAAATCTGGCTTCAAATCCAGCATTCTTTCCCTCACACTATACTAGTAAGTATGCATTCCTTTTTCAGGGTAGCAGAAACAAATCTAGAGAACTATCTGTGTCATTTCTATTAGGGAGCTTTAAGAATTCTGATAGCTGAAAGCTCCTGACACAGCCAAGAATCTTCACTTCTTTGTTTAAATCTATAGGTCTTAGGCCTCAGAGCTGTGCAAATGAGAAGTAGTATGCAACAAGGTTTTCCAGAGCTGCAGAACTTTCATGGGAAGTTCCTCATGGCTCCCTCCAATCATAAGACTTGTACTTTTTCCCACTGCACTAGTTCTCTCTCATATCAAGTCCCCATGGTCACACAGATAACAAATACAAGGACAAGAGGAACATTATAAAGTATCCAGCCCTGGGCCTTTGTCCTCAGCTTCCTGGGGCATGAGCTATTTTCCATGAACCCTTCAACCAATACTGATAAAACAGTTTATCCTTATTCCTTTCTAAACATCCTAGTTACTGACTGAACCTCATGTCAAGGAGCTGAGTTTTGGCCTCTCTAAATTTCTGAGCCAACTTGGCCCAGACACCTATGCCTACTTTCTTCATTCCAGGCCTTGTGCGTCCTTTCTGTTCCCTTCTACCAACTGTCTTCACATGTTCCAGAAAATATGAAAATATTTTCTATAGTTTACTTACTGTAGAAGAAAGGTAAAAGAAGAAGCAAATTCTACAGATTCATAATTTAACAAGATATGATAAGACTGTTAAGGAGTTTCTGTGATCCACATCAGATCTTGAGTGACCTTAGACAAGAGGAATGGTATTTACCCTTCCCCCAAGAAAGCATTTTCTAAGGTTTTCTTAAAAGGGGAAAGAGTATATTCAAATTCTGAAATACAGCACTATAGGGGTTAGGTTTTTCAACTTAGGTTTTGTGATTCCAACAGGCCTTCAACGATCTGAGAAACTGAGACAGATTAAGTTATTTGCCCTATGTCCAAGAAAGGTTGGATAGAAAAAAAAAGTTGGTGCCAGCTTTTACTTGAAGTAACTTAACCCATGAGGAGTAGGATCCAGACAACCCTAGTACATGTTTCAGTCAACAGGTCTTTCTAAGGACCTAAAGTAGGGTAGGTGTCACTAGATTCAATCTTTTACATCCATCCTCTACTTATCATATCTTGGATTGAAGTCATGAATGTTGACAATGATTTATACATCATTAGCTTTGGAGTCTGGAAGTCTAGATTTGAATCTTGACTCTGTTACTGGCTCCTTGTGTAACTTTGGAAAAAGTTAATTTATTCTCAGGGCCTTAATCAGCAATCATTTACTAAATGCCTACAACATGTTAGGCACTGTTCTAGGAGTTGGAGATACATACATGCATACACACATACATACATACACACATACACAAATATATACATATATATGTATGTGTTTATACATGCAAAATGAAACAATCCCTTGCTTTTAAGGAGATTCCTTTCTATATCCCTATATTTTATTAACCCATATGACCTGATCATGTTGCAATAGATATTCTCCAGCCTTCACTATGGCTTCACATATCTGTCTTTTGGCATATAGGAACTGGATCTGAGCCTGAACTTATACGTTGGCCATGACTCAGCTGTCGCTGCCTTAACAGAGACTTATGGAGGTAACAAGCAGCGATATGGCAGATGCTTCTGTCTCTTGCCTTCCCCTCATTGGCCACTTGCATTTCAAAGTGAACTTTATGCATGCTGAGAGCAGTTGAGCAGGATCAGTTTTGCTAACATGCTATTAAAATACTGGTCATGCATCAGTAGCATAGTAATGTAGATGTTTAGTTTATTTAAGTAAGTTGCTCAACAAACATTTTCCTAGGTATTCTAAAAGAGTAAGAAACACATTTTTGGAGGTGGCCAATATGAGAATTGGTTGTCCTTGACTATGCACATATGGTACCAGGATTCTGCATTTATTCTTTCTTTCTTTTCCAGTAGGTGATGGGAAGAAAAAGTCAAAAGTTTGATAATTTAAAATGAATAAGGAAATTATTTTTTTAAAGTACACATCATTCAGAAGTAGTCATCTAATCACTAGTTATGAATTAAATTAACCTGATTTCCCTAGGGGTTTTCAGAGATTAAACTGATTCTAGATTTAGAATTGGAAGGGGCTTTGAAGCTTATCTAGTACAAACCTCTTATTTTAGAGATGAGAAAACAGAGTCCAGAGAAGGGAAGTGACTTAGCCAAAGTCACCAAGACTACCAAAACTGTCTTTCTTGGAAAATGCATGTTTTTTGTTGGAATCATTCTTAAAATGAAAGTTCAGATGATCAATTTTTGTAAACATTCACAGGATGTACCTTCTTTAAGTTTCAGGAGAAAACCTTGTTATCTGAGACTAGAAGAGAAGCATGTCAATTTCTCTTTAAGGCTAAGCTTCTCCTAAGTATTATTCCACCAGATAGACAAATGAAATGATCTTCCATTCATCATTAAATCTTAGTCAACAATTGTTTCAGCATAATCTTTAACTGCTTTTATGATTAAGAAAAAAACTTTTTCACAAATAAGCACAGTTAAGAAAAACAAATCCATACCCTTACAATGTATATCAAAAATGTCTGTCTATTTTAGGACCCTGAGTCTATCACCTATCTCTCTGTCAATAGGTGGGTTCACCATAGGTCTTCTGGGAACATGGTTGTCTTTGCTTTGATTAAAGTTCTTCTGTTTTTTCAAGTGTTTTTCTTCACACTGCTGTTGCCATTGTTCTTCCGGCTCTGCTTACTTCACTCTGTATCAGTTCATATTTTTTTAGGCCTTTCTGAAATCAGCTCTTTCATAATTTCTTACTGCACAAAAATATTACATTACATTATTATGTCACAATTTGTTGAGTCATTCTCAAATTGATAGGCATCCTTTTAGATTCCAATTTCTCTCTCTCTCTCTCTCTGTCTCTCTCTCTCTCTCTCTCTCTCTCTCTTTTCTCTTTTAGTCCTCCCTTTAGGATGTTAATTATTTTTTTTCTGCTTGAATTTACTCCTTCCCGGGAATTATTGTCCCTTTCCTCTCTCCCTCTCCTCACTTATTTCCCTGTTAAGTTTTCTTTCTCTTTTAATTAGGTCTGCTTTTGCTTTATTTGAGATCATGATTGATACTCCTGCCTTTCCTACTTCAGCTGAAGTATAACAACTTGCTGGCCTATTATTTTAACTCCTTGCATGCCTTTCCATTTCAATTGTGTTTTTTGTAAACAACACATAGTTAGATTCTGGTTTAAAATCCATTCTGCTATCTGCCTCCATTTTATGGGTGAGTTCATTCCATTAGCATTCATAATTATGATTATATATATATATAATATCTTATTATTGTATATTATATACCTGTGTCATATTTTCTTCTCTTCATCCTCTCTCTTTTTTTTTACCCTCTCCCTCCTCAAAAGTCTCTTTTTGTCTGTGACCACTGCATCTCTTAATCTACCCTCCCTCTTTTCATGTCGTGTTTCTTCTAGTCTCTTCCTCTCCTATGTCCATGTTAGGTAAGATGGATTTCTATACTCACCTGATTGT